CCCGCCTTCCTGCCGCCCACCTACGGGGTGCTCAAGTCCCTGCTGGAAAACCCCCTCAAGCTGCCGCTGCACCACGAGGACGGTGAGAGCCGCGGGGAGCCCGGGGCGCGGGCAGGGGCACGGCGGGAGGCGCCCGCGCTGCCTTTTTGTCTTTCTTCCTTTTTTCCTTCCTTTTTTCCTTTCTTTGTTGATGTCTTTCTTTTTACTTTCTTTCTTTATTTCTTTTTTTTTTTTTTTTCTTTCTCTCCTCCCTTCCAACTTCGGTGCATGGCAGTCCCTTCCCACCAAGCTACCCCTGGGGAGAATCGCTCCCTCCAGCCATGACGGGAGCAGCGTCCACATTTCCTCCCAGGGATGGCTTGGACATGCTGGCGTAGTGAAGTGTGGGCATCCTTCTTTTTTTAGGGGCGGGGGGGGGTGCTACTTCTATGTCTTTCCTATTTCTATTTCTGCCCTATTTCTCATCTATTTAAAAAACAAAACAAAACACCTGCAAAGTGTACGTGGATGACTGTAAATCGCTAGGATTGCTAAAGCTGATGGATTGCAACTTGAGCGGGGAGGGGGAAGATGAGCTGAAGGCGGTTTAGCGGAGCCGAGGGGGGTTGTGATTCCAAGTGGCCAGCCCCGCGCCTCTGTGCCTCTTAGGAGGAAAAGGAAGAGGCTTGTAGATTTCAGCCCCCCCTTTTTTTTTTCCAGGCTGTCTGCAATGCTGCATCCCGGTGCTACTTGTAAGATTTATTTTTTAACATCTGTGTGATGTTTTTTAACATCTGTGTGATGTCCCCGAAAGAAAAGTGCCATCATAAATAGACTCTAGAAAATCACAGAGCTCAAGCAGATGTTTTCTTTAAAAAAAAAAACCAAAAGATGTTGTTAAGGTGACTCGTTACTTTTTAACAGACAGTGTAGGGCATTTCCTTAAATAGGACGTTTTTAAATGAGCGCTTTCTTCATATTTTGGTATGAGCACTTGTATTTTTTTCTGGCTGTCCCCTGAGCGTACTTATTTCCAGCCTATTTTGTCATTATTTTAAGCAAGCCATTTCCAAAACTGAAGTAGTGGAGTTTTAATTATGCAGATGATGCCCTGCACCTTACGAGACCAGTTCTTGTAGCCTGAAAAGACGCCAAGAGGGCATTGAATTCAGTAGCTACTTTTGTTTGCTGGAGGACTGAAGGATTGGGTCCTTTGACTTGGGTATTTTGGGGGGTTTTTTAAGGGAAAATTGTTGCTTTTGCAAACAAAATAAAATATCTGGCAACATGTCCTCTGTAAGTTACTTTTTGCTACTTGTATAGGAGCTCTTAAGTAATCTGTGAGCTCTATCAGAGGGGACGTTTGAAGCTACATATGCCAGCGTGGTCTTCCCTTAAAAATAGAGTGAAATCATGAAAATGCAGCTAGATAGATCTAGCAAGGTGGAAATTTTGGCCTGATCCTCAAATAAACACAGCAAAGGAATTGCTTCTGCGAGGAGATATTAGTCTCTGCAAGAGGGGAAATGTATCTTCCTGAAAATCATAATGATGATAATGATTCATTGCTTTGCTCTTCCATCTTTACTGTGTGGTTGTGTTTTGTCATTGTGTTTTTTAAGCATTTGGCAAAGAAAAAGACAAGGAGAAGAAGCTGGATGATGACAGCACCGGTGCTACAGTTCCCCAGTCAGCTTTCTTGGGTCCAACATTATGGGACAAGACACTGCCATATGATGGAGATACTTTCCAGTTGGAATACATGGACCTGGAAGAATTTCTTTCAGAAAATGGTATTCCACCCAGCCCGTCCCAGCATGACCATAGCCCGCACCAGCCAGGTCTCCAGCAAGCTACCTCAGCAACCCCCTCTGTCATGGACCTCAGCAGCAGGGCATCTACATCTGTCCATCCGGGCATGGTGTCTCAGAACTGCATGCAGAGCCCAGTCAGACCAGGTAAATCGACCGTAAACCCCCCTTAAGGTTTTTTTAAAATAAACATTAGTTCTCACTGCATGGCTGACACGAGCAGCAGAGAGAAGTCCAGCGTGAATCGAGTCTTTGCCAGGGCCAGAAAAAAAAAAAAAAAGAAAATCTGGAGAAATCCTAACCAGCTCTACAGGGATTTTTTGTTTCAGTTGTGTCAAGAATCCGTGGGAATTCCATGGAAACTTGCCTGTCGTCTTTTCCCCCCACTGGCAATGTAGCTATTAACAAGCTAAAAATACAAACCAATGTAAAAATAGTAATACACAGATGCCACAGTGTCAACTGAACAGGGGAAGGGAAAGGGAGAGGGACCAGGAGGGAGACGTGTGCTTGTATGCTCACCAGGACACGGTTTGGTAAGAGAAGAGCCTGGTCAGGGCCCAGCTGCTTTGGTGGTAAAAGTAGGGTGGGAGGATTTTTCTCTCTGAAATAGGCCCCATCAGCCTAAGCCCTGCATTCCTGAATTGACCTAAGCAAAAGGTAGACAAAATAAAAACTGGAGCTGCAATAGTTAAATATCAGATGTGGAATAAAACAAAGCTACGGGCCAGATTATGATCTCAGTTATATTAGCATAAATGGAGAGGAACTCTGACTTCAGTTGTCAGTGCCAGATTTAGATCTGTG